TATTTATTAAAAACATGAAGTAACTTTTAATAAAAAAGATAATTATATAAATGTGCAAAATTTCTGGTACATAAACAAAAAGATTTTTTTAGTTTTCAACATCTATAATATAAAGCAATTCAAGTCTACAAATTCAGTCTCAGCACAAGCATCTATAGGAAAGAAATTATGGAAGTTCTATGTAGATATTAAGACGATTAACTGATGCGGCTTTATTTAATATTGTCAAATAAATATGTCATCATGTTATATAATTTTTCAGCAGTAATTACAAGACAGTATGATTCATGGGAAAAATTTTTTGAAACGTTTACAGATGAATAATTTGTGACTGCTGAGTTCATCTGTCAAAATCATTGTTATACAATTTTTAAATTCTATCTAATTATGGCTGGTACATTTCACTAGATTACTAAATTGGGGTTCCGAGAAAGTGACACCTCCCTTCCCAATTTTTTTTTGTCTCATGCATGTTTGTTTGTTTGTTTGTTTGTTCTTTCCTCTACTAAGACCAAGGCCACAGTACTTCTAAGGCAACTGTTACGACTTCAATTACTATAACACCAACGATAAAAACTGAAAAACATTCCCCCAAAAGTTATCAGACAGACAAAGCGCCCTCTACCAGCTATACATCTCCAACAGACTATTATGGGATACCAGTAGATAGCACTGAGTCACCAAATTATGACGATGATAGAATGACACCCGGAAGTTACGGGATGCCAAGAACATCGACCACTTATGGTGGAACGAGTAGATCACCACACTACGGGGTCTATGCGGCCGATTCTGGTTCGCCTCCTGGCGGTATTGACTCGGTGACTGTCAGTTATAATAGAGAACAAGAATCATCGCCGAATTATGGGTATGATCGCGATAAGAAACCCGACACTGTGTTCGGCGTGGCCAATCCCGGCAACCAATCACGATCTTTTAAGATGTTGCAGCAGATGATGACTGATGAAAACAGCGCCCCCAGTACGGGTATCGTAGGTAACCTAACATGCTAATTATTTTAATGAAGAGGTAGATAATTAGGTAGAATTAGCTCACAATGTCTTCAGACATATTAATTACCTCATGATAATTCCAAAAAATAATCATTTCAATAATATCATCACATGCAATTAATCGCACTGCCACTAATGCGTCTGTTCTCATTGTAGTAACTTCCTACCAGTAGCATTGTGGGAAATTTATCTTACACCACATTAACACCTCCTTGACAACGCTTTGTTACTAACTATTTTTCTTTTTTTCTTCAACAACCTCAAATATACTTGTAAGTGCTGGTTTATATATATTCTGAGAATATCTATAAATATTTAACTTTTTGTGTTATTACATGTTGAGGGCGCTCTTCTTGCCTTGCTCCAGAGTGAGGCTGCAAGGTATACCAGTCTAAACTGGATTGTGTTGCTATGTAATTGAACTACATAGCAACAACATTCCCTGATAACAGAACAAGTTACAAATATGGCATAGAGTGAAGGGGTTACTCATCCGGGGGGGATGTGTTTTTTTTGTTTTGTTTTTTTTTGCAATTATTATAGTCACAGCATTTTTTCAATTTTCACTTTTACATAATTTATTGTTTCATGCACGACAATCTTTTTTTCACAAAATTCTTCAGCCTACCATTAAGTTTTCAAATAAGGGAACCCCTAACATGCAAAGTTGCTTCTCAAAACAAGGGCGCCCTCAACATATATTCAGAGAATTTGTTATACTCTTTTATTTTATAGTTTTATTAGTGTTTAATTTATGTCACCTGAACTGTCATATTTCATATAATAAAATTGTGAAAACAAAAATAATACTCATTGAGAAAATTAAAAATATGTAAAGTAATATTATATGCTGTTATATTATTGCTAAGGTTAATATTGATCTGTTTGTCAACAATCTTTGTATTTATTTATTTATTCATATAATTATATTAAATGTTTTAATTTTTTTTGTATTATAATCAACTTTTTCCTGAATATATATTAACAATTTCATGCTGTGGTTAATGTTCAATATAATGTGCTTAAGGGGTCATATAGTGGTCTAAGATGTAATTTGCTCTAATAGTGTATTGGTCTAATCCAAACACTGGGAGAACTGCTTGTTGGCTTTAGTTTATACCGGTAGTAATTTGTCTACACTAACCTAGAATTTATGTATTTTCTGAGGTCTGCAATTCTGTTACTTCCCACATAAGTTTTTTCATATTTTTATTAGCTCTGCTGTCAACGAAGTCGAGCGGAGCTTATAGTATTACTGATTGTCCGTCAGCGTTCATTGT